TTCATATGTTGAGCTCCTAACCCTTTTGTAACGGCACTAGGAAGTGGGGTGTTTGGGTCGTAAGGGGAGAGCCATCATGAATGGGATTAGTGCCCTTTTAAAGAGATCCCAGAGAGTTCCGTCACCCCTTCCACCATGTGAGGGCACCAGGAGACGAGGGTGGTCTGCAAACCAGGCCGGCACCCTCACTGGCACCCAACCGGTCTAGCACTCCAACCTCGGACTTCCAGTCTCCGGAACTGTGAGCGATAAATCTCTGTTATTTATAAGTCACCCAGCCTGTGGTGCTTTGTTATAGAGGCTTGAACAAACTTAGAGCACCCTCAACGCTAATTTACCAAAGCCATTTTTACACGGTTACCATGCTTGGTCTGTGAGAAGTGCTCAGCTGAGATGGTGCCCTTTACCGCTCCTGGCAGAATCATAATTCATGGGGCGCCTGGGTGGCTTAGTCGGTTAAGCGTCCGACTTTCGCTCAGGTCATGATCTCACGGTTCGTGGGTTTGAGCCCCACGTCGGGCTCTGTGCTGACTGCCAGCTCAGAGCCAGAAGCCTGTTTCAGATTCTGTATCTCCCTCTCTCTCTGACCCTTCCCTGTTCACACTGTCCCTCTCTCTCTCTCTCTCCTAGAAATAAATATATTTAAAAAAAAAGAATCATAATTCATACCCAGTCTTCTTCCGAACAGACTGAGGCTTTCTGAGCTCACCATCCAGGAAGCTCATCACCAGTCGCCCTAAGGGTGGGGGGCGAGCATCACACAGCAGGACTCTGTTGGCAGCATTCAAGGTTCTGAATTTGAAGACTCTGACACAGCAAAGCTGCTACTGCCCTACTGAGGCCAAACATGAGTGGTCAGACATGGGGCGGGACTTCCTGGAGCTTCCATGTATTTTCTGTCTCCTTCTCTGAGGGTGTTTGGTGGAAGACTGGATTCTTATCCAGCAGGAACCATTTGTAAAAATCTTAGAGTCTTAGAGTCTCTCTCCAGGATCCCTTCACTTTCCAGCACCCATCATATGTGTAATAACCTTCTAGTAACCCTGGAGAATACTTCAGTTTTCCAGGATGGCTGAATGTCATAGGAAAATCATAGAACAAAAATTAATAAAAAGAAAATGCAAGAGTCATCCATGGTTGCGGTAACAGTGGAAACTTGCCAGCGTATCCCAGGGTGGGGAGGGGGGTGTCCAGACCCCCCCTGCAGCCCTGGCCTGGCCTCTGGCTGTGCTCCTGGCTGCCGGGGGTTTAGGGGTGAGGCAACAGTGGATTTTCTTATATGGCTTTTACTATGCTGAGCTAATTTCCATCTATTCCTAACTTTTGAGAGTTTTAATATGGTGGGGTATTGAGTCTTATAAAATACTTTATCTACATCTACTGATAGAGAGGATCCTATGATTTTTATTCTTCAACAAATGGCATTTGGAAAGTGGATATCCATATGCCAAATATTAAAATTGGACACTAATCGGGGCGGCTGGGTGGCTTAGTTGGTTACATCGCTGACTTTGGCTCAGGTCATGATCTTACAGCTCGAAGGCTCGTGAGTTCAAGCCCTGCATTGGGCTCTGTGCTGATGGCTCAGAGCCTGGAGCTGCTTTGGATTCTTTGTCTCCGTTTTTCTCTGCCCCTCCCTGCTTACAGTCTGTCTCTCTGTCTCTCTCAAAAATAAATAAACATTAAAAATTTTTTTTAATTGGACACTTATCTTACACAGACACATAAAAACTCATAAAAAACACATAAAAACATTTCACACAAAATGAATTAAAGACTTAAATATAAGACCTGAAACTATAAAACTCCTAGAGGAAAATACAGGGGAGAAGTTTCATGACATTGGCCTTGACAGTGATTTCATGGATGTAACTCCCAAAGCACAGGAAATAAAAGTAAAAAGAGACAGGTTTTCATCAAGCTAAAAAGCTTCTGCACAGCAAAGGAAATAACAGAGTGGAAAGACAACCTATGAGACTGAAGAAAATATTGGCAAACTCTATATCAGGTAAGTGGTTAATTTCCAAAATATATAAGGAATTCCAACAATTCAATAGCAAAAAACAACCTGATTATAAAATAGACCAAGGACATGAATAGACATTTCTCCAAAGGAGATATACAAATGGCCAAGGTGTATAGAAAAAGGTAACTCAGTGGTGGGGTGCCTGGCTGGCTCAGTTGGAAGAACACATGGCTCTTGATTTCAAGGCCATGAGTTTGAACCCCATGTTTGGTGTAGATTACTAAAAAAATACATACATAAACTTTAAAAAATGCTCAATGTTACTAATCATCAGGGAAGCGCAAATCAAAACCACAATGAAATATCATTTTATACCTCTTAGGATGGCTATTATCAGAAAAATAAAAGACAACAAGTGTTGGTAAGGGTGTGGAGACCCTGGGGGCGCCTGGGTGGCTCAGTTAAGCGTCCGTCTTCGGCTCAGGTCAGGTCATGATCTCACAGTTTGCAGGTTCGAGCCCCGCGTCAGGCTCTGTGCTGACAGACAGCTCAGAGCCTAGAGCCTGTTTCGATTTCTGTGTCTCCCTCTCTCTCTGACCCTCCCCTGCTCACGCTGTCTCTCTCTCTCTCTCTCTCAGAAATAAATAAAACATTAAAAAAAAAGAAAAAAAAGGATGTGGAGACCCCGGGGCCTTTGCACACTGTCCGTGGGAATGCCTCATGGTGCAACCACGATGGAGGACAGAGTGGAGCTCACTCCGACACTTACAAGGAGACCTGCCATATGAGCCGGCAACCCCACTTCTGGGCATTTATCTAAAATAATTCAATTTATACTTCAATAAACCTGTTAAGAAAAAAGAAATTTCCAGTGGCTCCTATCGGCACAAATCAAAGTCAGTGTGCGTACAAATGCCACAGCTTTGCCTCTCACTTCACCTTTTACCAGGCTTCCCATTTTACCATCTCCGGCCACGCTGACCTCCTTTCTTTGCCACGGGCACACTGGATCCTCCGGTTCCTCCAGTGTTTTGCACTTTATTTTCCCTCTGGATGCTTTTCCCCAGCTCCTCAATGCTTCTCACCTCCTACCCTTTGGGTCTTAGCCCGAGCATAGCGTCCTCCTCCCCTGACCTTCTCCACCATCTGTCACCCTGTTTATTTCCTTCCCAGTGCTCATCATATCTCTTATTAATTTGCATCTTTGCATATAGTCTGTCTGGCTCCCTGAGTGCTAGGACCTTGTCTGTCTTCTCGGCTGTCACAGTGCCTCAGCCAAGGTGCAATTCAACAATTGGTGCTAACACACCTTTGTGGACCCTTCTCTCACTCAAGGCTGACCTCACTCAGGGACTTATCTCTTCCTGAGTCCATGTCAGGAAGCACCTGCTGTGTCCAGACACTGTTCTCGGCAAGAAGCACTGAAGAAACTAAACAGAGCTCTTGCCTGTAACCCTTGGTTCCTGGTGGGGGGAGGGGTGATCGTAGAGACAGTAAGTGAAAGGGTACGAGTCAGGGGCACCTGGGTGGCTCAGTCGGTTGAGTGTCTGAGTCTTGATTTTGGCTCAGGTCATGATCTCACTGTTTGTGAGTTCGAGTCCTGTATCGGGCTCTCCGTTGTCATCACAGAGCCTGCCTGGATCCTCTGTTCCCTCTCTTTCTGCCCCTCTCCTGCTCATTCCATCTCTCTCTCTCTTAAAAACACACATACGACATTAAATGCTGCTGCTGCTGCTGCTGCTGCTGCTGCTACTACTACTACTACTACTACTACTGGATGTATGAGACAGAGGACATCAGGCAGAGGTGAGGATTATAGACAGAAACGAAGCAGGGGCATGGCACACCTCGAAAGCAGTAATAATACCTGCTACTTCAGATCCAGGCTTCTCCAACGTTCCCTAACCCATTCTTCACTGATTCTTCCCCTAATCTCACTGTGACTCAGTTTCCTCTTCTGTAAAACGGGCCAGAATGCAGCACTTCCCTTCCTCACCAGCTGCGAACACCACATAGGGATGTGCAGATGCACGCCAGTAGCCACTGTTTACACAGCGATACCCTCTTCCCTTTTTTCCCCTCAACCACTGGGCTTTTTAAAAAAGCAATTAAATACCACCATTTTTTTCTTAAGTGTTGCGGTCTCGATTAAACTATGACCTTTGTGGGGCGCCTGGGTGGCTCGGTCGGTTGACCATCTGACTTCTGCCGGTCATGGTCTCACAGATGGTGGATTCCAGCCCCGCGTTGCGCTCTGTGCTGACAGCTCAGAGCCGGGGCCTGGTTCGGATTCGGTGTCTCCCTCCTTCTCTCTCTGCTCCTTCCTGCTCACGCTCTGTCTCTCTCAAAATGAATAAACATTAAACAAAACACCCCGTGACTTCTGTGATATAGCAGAAAACAGAAAATGCAGCACCCCGCCGTGCTGTCTGGAACACGGAGGGCGAGGTAGCACCCATTTCCCGGAGGCGGACGTGGAGGCCGCGAATTCGGGCGCCCGCCTGTCATGAGCCTCCGGGCCGCAGGCGGCAGCAGCGGGCGGCGGCGGCTACACGGTAGCGAGGGCGGCGGGCGGGTTACCATGTAGCGAGGGCGGCGGCGGTCAGGTGAGCGGCGGAGGGGGGTCGGGGCGGGCCGGGTGAGGGGCGGGGGTGCGGGGGGGCCGGGGCCGGGGCCGGGGCGCCCGGGCGTCGGGGGCTCCCTGGGCCGGCCGCGGCCCCCCTGCCCGGAGGAGCGGGGGGCGAGGGACCGTCCCGGACCGCCCCCCCCGCCCGGCGCAGGCTTCGGGGAGCCCGCCGGGTCGGGGAGCCCCCCGCCCCGCCCTCCCTCGGGCGCAGAGGGCGTCGGCGGCCCGCGCTGCCTCCCTCCGCGGCCCGGGCGGGTCTGCGGCCCCGGGGAGGCCCCCGCCCGCCCCCGGTGACCGTGGCGCCGCTTCCGGCCTCGACGTGGGGCTCGCGCCAGCTCCAGGCTCCGCCGGGCCCCCCCGAACCTCAGTCTCCTCGCCTCTGAAATGGGTGGGCGTCCTTAGCGGGCTCGTGAGGGTCCCCAAGGTGTGGTCTGTTGTTGAGAGTCAAGTTGGGGAAGGTGCCTCGTTCCTGAGGCGGGCAGCGGCCGCCCCGCCAGGCTTCGGGGGCAGACACCCCAGAGGGCAGTGCCCCGCCCCGCCCCCTTCTCTCGTGGCCGGGAGGGCGCCAGACCCTTTTGGGGGCCGTGCCCCAGCCAGGGCGCCGCGCTGGGCGAGCGCGTCGTGAGTGCACCTGGGCTCCGCCCTCGGTGCCCCTGGCGTCCCCTCTGATGCCAAGTTGTGCTGTCGGGCCCCCCCCCCCCCCCGCACTTCTGCCAGAGAAGGGTAGTGGCCAGAGAGGGCAGAGCTGGGGCCGTGGGCTTGGCGGGTTCCCTTCCTTTCTCCTAGCCTCCACCCTGCTGCGGTCCCTCTGGAGGCCAAGCCTGAATGTGAGTGCAGGGGTGAGGCTGGGGGGCAGGGGTGCGGGGTCAGGGTCAGCTGGGCGCTGCTGTGGGCCACTGTGCTGGGGCATCGCCTGTCTGTGCCCAGAAGCCCTGAACACAGTGTGATTCTCCAACTTGGCAGGAGAGAGACCGAGGCTGAGAGAGGTCAGATGACCATGCATTCATTCTTTCATTCATTCATCCATGGCCTCGGCCGGGAGGCAAATGAAAGATGCTTTTTCCAAGGGAGCCCCCAGCCCAGAGGAGAGCTGCGCTGGCCACGTTTTAAATGCTGGGAGATTTCCTTGGGGTGAGGCTGGAGGTCATGTGATGACGACAGTGACCATTTGTTTAGGAGCAGCTCTGGGCTCTGGGCCCCCCTGCCACACAGTCCTGCCCATCCCGGTAGCTAGGTGTTCCCCCTTATTTGTGGGCAAAAAAATAGGATCGTATAGCTTATCAGTGGGAGACCCAGAGTTTAAATCAGGGCTGTATGATTCTCTTTTTAATTAATTTTTTAAAAAAATTGACATGCAAGTTATCATATAGAGCAACAATGACTTCCGGAGTAGATCCCTTGATGCCCCTCCCCCACTGAGCCCACCCCCCTCCCACAGCCCCTCCAGCAACGCTCTCTTCTCCATATTTAAGAGTCTCTTCTGTTCTGACCCCTCCCTGTTTTTGTATTATTTTTGCTTCCCTTCCGTTATGTTCATCTGTTTTGTATCTGAAAGTCCTCCTATGAGTGAAGTCATATGATATTTGTCTTTCTCTGACTAATTTCACTTAGCTTAATACCCTCCAGTTCCATCCACATGGTTGCAAATGGCAAGATTTCATTCTTTTTGATTGCCGAATAATACTCTAGTGTGTGTGTGTGTGTGTGTGTGTCTGTCTGTGTGTGTGTACATACCACATCTTCTTTATCCATTCATCTGTCGATGGACATTTGGGTTTTTTCTATATTTTGGCTATTGTCGATAGAGCTGCTATAACCATTGGGGTGCGTGTGCCCCTTCGACACAGCACACGTGTATCCTTTGGGTAAATACCTAGTAGTGCAGTTGCTGGGTCGTAGGGTAGTTCTAGTTTTCATTTTTTGAGGAGCCTCCATACTGTTTTCCAGAGTGGCCGCACAGTTTCCACTCCCACCAGCAGTGCAAGAGAGATCCTCTCCCTCCACGTCCTCACCGGCATCTGTTGTTGCCTGACTTGTTGATTGTAGCCATTCTGACAGGCGTGAGGTGGGATCTCATTGTGGTTTTGACTGGCGTTTCCCTGATGATGAGTGATGTTGAGCATTGTTTCATGTGTCTGTTGACCATCTGGTTGTCTTCTTTGGGGGAGTGTCTGTTCATGTCTTTAGCCAATTTCTTCACTGGATTATTTGTATATTGGGTGTTGAGTTTGATGAGTTCTTTTTTTATAGATTTTGGATACCAACTCTTTATCTGATGTCATTTGCAAACATCTCCTCCCATTTTGTCGGTTGCCTTTCAGTTTTGCTGATTGTTTCCTTCTCTGTGCAGAAGCTTTTTATTTTGATGAGGTCCCAGTAGTTCATTTTGCTTTTGTTTTCATTGCCTCTGGAGACGTGTTGCATAAGAAGTTACTGCGGCCAGGGTTAAAGAGGCTCTTGTCTGCTTTCTCCTCAAGGATTTAAAAAAAAAATTGTTTTAATGTTACTACTTTTGTGTGTGAGAGAGAGAGAGAGAGAGAGAGAGAGAGAGAGAACAGGGGAGGGGCAGAGAGAGAGGGAGACACAGAATCCAAAGCAGGCTCCAGGCTCCAACGTCGTGGGACTTGAACCCACAGACTGTGAGATCATGACCTGAGCTGAAGTTGGCTGCTTAACCGACTGAGCCCCGCAGGCTCCCCTCCTTGAGGATTTTGATGGCTTCCTGTCTTACATTTAGGTCTTTCATCCATTTTGAGTTTCTTTTTGTGTGTGGTGTAAGAGAGTGATCCAGGTTCATTTTTCTGCATGTCACTGTCCAGTTTTCCCAGCACCACTTGCTGAAGAGACTGTCTTTATGCCATTGGATATTTTTCCCTGGTTTGTCAAAGATGAGTTGGCCATACGTTTGTGGGTCCATTTCTGGGTTCTCTATCCTTTTCCACAGATCTGAGTGTCTGTTCTTGTGCCGGTACCGTACTGTCTTGATGATCACAGCTTTGTGACACAGCTTGAAGTCCGGGATTGTGATGCCTCCTGCTTTGGTTTTCTTTTTCAAGATTGTATTGGCTCTTCAGGGTCTTTTCTGGTTCCATGCAGATTTCAGGATTGTTTGTCCTAGCTCTGTAAAGAATGCTGGTTATTTTGATAGGGATTGCGTTGAATATGTAGATTGCTTTGGGTAGTATTGACGTTTCAACAATATCTGTTTTTCCTATCCAGGAGCATGGAATATTTTTCCATTTTTTTGTGTCATCTTCAATTTCCTTCATCAGCTTCTATAGTTTTCAGTGTATATAGATTTTTCACCTCTTTGGTTATGTTTATTCCTAGGTATCTTACGGTTTTTGGTGCAAGTGTAAATGGGACCGATTCCTTGATTTCTCTTTCTGTTACTTCATTGTTGGTGTATAGGAACGCAACTGATTTCTGTGCATTCGTTTTATATCTTGCCACTTTGCTGAACTCCTGGATCAGTTCTAGCAGTTTTTTTGTGGAATCTTTTGGGTTTTCCATATAGAGTATCGTGTCATCTGCAAAGAGAGAAAGTTTGACTTCCTCCTGGCTAATTTGGATGCCTTTTATTTCTTTGTGTTGTCTGGTTGCTGAGGCTAAGACTTCCAATACTATGTTGAATAACAGTGTCAAGAGTGGGCATTCCTGTCTTGTTCCTGACCTTAGGGGGAGAGCTCTCAGTTTTTCCCTATTGAGGATGATATTAGCATTGGGTTTTTCTTTCTTTTTTTTTTTTTTAAAATGTTTTATTTATTTCTAGGAGAGAGAGAGACAGCGTGAACAGGGGAGGGTCAGAGAGAGAGGGAGTCACAGACTGAAACAGGCTCCAGGCTCTGAGCTGGCAGTCAGCACAGAGCCCGACGCGGGGCCCGAACCCACGAACCGCGAGATCATGACCTAAGCGAAAGTCGGACGCTTAACCGACTAAGCCACCCAGGCGCCCCTACATTGGGTTTTTCATATATGGCTTTTATGATCTCGAGCTTTGATCCTTCTTTCCCTACTTTCTTAAGGTTTTTTTTTTTTTTAATCAAGAAAGGATGCTGTATTTTGTCAAATGCTTTTTCTGCATCTATTGAGAGGATCATGTGGTTCTTGATCTTTCTTTTATTGATGTGATGAATCATATTGATTGTTTTGCGGATATTGAGTCAAGGGCTGTATGATTCTTAGTTTAGAACATTAGTAACAATGATAATGGTAAGTTGTAGCTGATATGTGTTGGATGCATGCTGCGTGCTGGCCAGGATACTCACAACTTCGTATTTAATCTTTGTGATAATCCTGTACACTGGGTACTATTATTATCCCCACTTGACAATGAGAAATGAAAAGCAAAGAAAGATTTAGGCATTTGCCCAAGACTATATATGTGAGCTAGGAGCCGACAGAGCTGGGATTTGAATAGCACCGGTTCATTTTATTACCACAAGGCTCTCAGAGAGATCAGATGGTCTAATTTGGAAGTTAGAGACAGAAATCCTTCTCCCAATAACAGTGATTTAAAAAGAAGTTTATCCTTGTCTCGTTTGAATGAAGGCTGGGTGTGAAGCAACTCAGGGCTTCTGCCTCACAACCCGAGGCGGCTGCTCTAGTTCCACCTGTTACATCTGTATCCCAGATAACCAGAGTTAGAAAAAGCTGAAGAAGGGCAATGCCTCCTCTTAAGAACAATTCTCATGAGATCTTTGTTTACATTCTGTTGGTTTTAACATAGTGTCATGACCGCATCCAGCTGTAGGGATGCTGGGAAATCATGATTAGCCAAAAATCTAGCTCCCCCACTTTCAAAGAAAAAAACAGACCTGGATAGTTGTTAAAACAGTCAACACACATTTTATTGAGGGCTCTTACAGTAGAGGAAAAGAGACCTCGGTCTTGAATGAGCTCAACTCTGAGTATAGCATGGGCAAGTGGGAGTTTATAGCCAAGGATCAGGGTAAAATCAGTGTGTGGAAACTTAATGAGGGGAGGCATTGGGGGTGAGGGGAGGATTCTGGCTAAACCCACGCGATAGGATCTTTGCTGAGGGCGGGCCGGGGTGATATCACATATGAGGTATGCAGGGCGGGGTGGGGGGTGCTCCTGCTAAACTGAAACAGCAGGGGTCTCCCTAAAACTGGATTGTACAGGAAGGGCACAGATGGGCCTATGATAAGTTTTGGGCGCCTGACTAAAGTCGGTCAGGTAAAGACTCTTTGTCACCGCTTGGGAAGAAGAGGTGAAGGAATCCTGGGTGTCTCCTACACCCCAGAGTCCTGCTTCGTAGGACACGGGGGCCCCTGCTGTCCAGAGAGGCACTGGGTGTGTGTGCTGCCCACAGCTGTCAGGTGACGAGAGGGTGGAGGCCTAAGCCCATGGCACCTGTAAGTTCCCGTGCTTTGACCCAGGGGCAGCCAGCCAATGGGTGCTGGTGTCTGCCTAACCAGAACTCCCAAGCCACATCCCCACTACAGAGGCCAAACAGGCAGGACGGGTCTCACGGCGTGAGAGTTCCTGACCCAGATGCAGGGCAGCCAGCACTGGCAAGGTGTGTGGGCGGCCTGTGAAGGCCATCGTCTGGGCTCGGTTCTCTTTCTTTCGGAGGGGGTGCGGATAGGAGTCACAAGGTCATCTTTGAGAATTACAAATTATTTCAGACTAAAAGGGCACAAGGAAAGCCTAACGACTTCCTACAAAGCTTTAGAAAACATCTGCCTTCCTGTGAACTCATGTCACCCTGGAGGCAGGGAGGGGCTGAGGAATGGGGCCCAGCTCATGGAGTGGGTGGGCCTGGGATGCACGTCCCTGCCCTCTTCAAAGCCCTTTCTCCCTCAGGGGCCATCGGGCATGTGTGTTCTGCAGTTCAAGGAGCTCTAGGGAGGGGACAGCAGTGCCAGGTGGTAAACTGAGCACTTCCTCTCTGTTTCCTGGGGTCCCCCTGGTGTGGGGCCTTGCCCTGACTCAGGCCACGCGGAGCATCAGTGGGAATCCAGGCCAGTGAGGTGCCATCCTTGCCTACGTGGTGCTTAACGAGTAGTCGGGGGTCTCCTCGACATGGCCAGCCAAGAGCTGGAGCTCCGTGGGGCAGCGGGAAGGTGGGCCCTGCCCAAGGCCATCCTGCAGATGGCAGAGCAGGCCTGGACCCGACACCAGCTCAGAGTGTACAGCACTGTGGCCTCTCGTACGGTCTTCACTGGCGGGCTGGCTCAGGGGCTGTGCTTTTGGGTTGCTCTGGCAGAAAAGGAGCACTTCTGGTTGGGGTCTGAAGTAAGGAACTGAGTCCTGGTAGGTGGTGCCTCATGGAAGCAGCCAAGCCTTTTCTTCTCAGCAGTGAAGGCTGGGGATGAGTGAGGTGTCGGGCCAGAGGGGCCCACGCTCCGACTGGCCGGGTGCCCTTGTTTAGGTCGCATCCCGACCCTGCTCATCGCAGCTGCGCGATCGGAGCGGGTTGCTGTTCCTGAGGGGTTGCTACCACCAGCGGCCTGGGTGAGGGGCTGAGCTGGTTTCAGGAGGCGCAGCATGTGGCACCTGCTGTGGGGGTGCTCTGCCTGCGCCCTCTGAACCCCCAGGAACTCAGAAGGGGGGTAGGAGTGCAGTGAGTCCAGGAGCCGGAAGGCCATCTCTGCCCCGTCCCGCTCTGCAGGGGGGATGCTATGGAATATGATGAGAAGCTGGCCCGGTTCCGGCAGGCCCACCTCAACCCCTTCAACAAGCAGCTTGGGCCAAGGCAGCATGAGCAGCGGGCCAGTGAGGAGGCCCCGGACATCGCTTCTGAAGGTGGGTGCTGGGGGAGGCCTGTGTGGGCAATCTGACCCTTCACGCTGTGCCCCCCCCCCTCCCCAGTTCCTCCTGTGGGCCATGTTGGCTTTCCCACAGAGCTGGGCCTGTGCTGCCCACTTCCCTTTTCTCCGCAGCACAAACCACTTTCCACCTGTTTTTTAGTTTACTTACTTCTATCCCTGCGTTAGAACACATACTCCTGGGCGCCTGGGCGGCTTAGTTGGTTGAGCATCTGACTTCAGCTCCGGTCATGAGCTCTCTGTGAGTTCAAGCCCCACTTCAGGCTTGCTGCTGTCAGCCCAGAGCCCGTTATAGATCCTCTGTCACCCTCTGTCTGCCCTTCTTCCACTTGTGCTCTCCCCAGAATAAATACTAACACACACAACACACACACACAGGCACACACACTCCTGAGGGCAGGGATTTGTGACTGTCTTGTCCCTGCTGTGTCCCAGGGCTCAGCACATAGCAGATGCTCACTCAGGGAACACTTGGGGAGTGAACTCAGAGCTGAGGTCTCATCAGGAAGAAGACAGAATGCCCTGAACAGAGACCCAGCAGCTTGGGAGGCCGGGAGGGGTGAGCGCTAGGAACTGCAGATTGAGTCACCATGGGGTGTTCAGGGCGTGCGTACGTGCGTGTGCGTGTGTGTGTGTGCGTGCTCACACAGGGATTGAGGAATTCTGGCGTTCAGCCCTCTAGCAGCCTTGAGTCCGTATACACATACACAAAGTCGGCCTTTGAAATTGGGATGTTTCTCTGACACTGTTTTGTAGACCGCTCTTAGCACTATGTGTGTCTTTCCACCCCTTTTTATTTTTCTATTTATTTATTTTTTATTTTAGAGAGCGAGTGAGCGTGTGCATGCAGGGGAGAGGGGCGGAGGCAGAGGGAAAATCCCAAGCAGGCTCCACGCTTAGTGCAGAGCCTGACGTGGGGCTTGATCTCATGACCCAGGGATCATGACCTGAGCTCAAGTCAAGAATCTGGTGCTCAACTGACTGGGCCACTCAGGCACCCCCCCACCTCATTTTTTGGAAAGGCTCTAATTTGTGAAGGGTGTGGATTTCTTTCCAGATGCAAGCAGGGCAGATGTGGGGCAGGGCCTGGCTCCCCCAGCACCTCCCATGGGCGTCTCTCATCCCCAAGGGTCCTTCCCACCCCGACCTGCCCCTGGTGGAAAGACAGGTTGACTTTCCCTTCTCTCTGCTGTGCTCCACACCTGTACCCCCTCCAGAGGCCCTGCCTGACCTGCCCCCTGGGGAGCCAGAATTCCACTGCACCGAGCGAGTGATGGACCTTGGCCTCTCTGAGGACCACTTCTCCCGCCCTGTGGTAAGGTTTGGGCCTGGGCGAGCCCCTAAGGAAGGGGGGGGGGCAGCCATTTCCTTGTCTCCCCACCCTCAGGCAGCAGGGCCAGGCCACCTGCGCTGGGCCTCCTGGGCCTTGAATCTGAGACCCACGTGACACCCAACTCCCATCCTGAAAACCTGTTGGGGAACCAGAGAAGGTGAACTGACCTGGGGTTTGGGGCCTGGAGCTACTCTTCCAGTGCTGGGCCTCCCCTCCCCCCTGCTCCAGGTTCCCCTGAGGCACGTGTGAGGGCTGGTTCCCTGTGGGCTCCTAGGGAACCCCACGGCTGTGGCTGAGGGAGGGGAGGGCCCCCCTGCCCGCCTCCACTCAGCTCTGCAGGGACATTCTCCTCTGTTCAATACTTTGTTCCATGGAAACTTTTTTTTTTTTTTTTAATTAAAAGGCTCTAATGATTTCTTTTAAAAAAGCTTGAAAATCAGAGTGTCTGGGTGGCTCGGTGGTTTAAGTGTCCAACTCTTGATTTTGGCTCAGGTCACAATCTCAAGGTTTGTGAGTTCGAGCCCTGCATTGGGCTCTGCGCTGACAGTGGGGAGATTCTCTCTCTCTCTCTCTCTCTCTGCCCTCCCCTGCTTTCTTACTCTCTCTCTCAAAATAAGTAAACTAAAGAAAAGAGTTTGAAAATCTTTTAGTTTTATGCAAAGTATCATCAACTTAAAAAAAATTTTTAATGTTTATTTCTTTTGAGAGAGAGAGAGACAGAGTGCAAGTGGGAGAGTAGGGACAGAGAGAGGAGACACAGAATCCAAAATAGGGCCTAGGTTGTGAGCTGTCAGCATAGAGCCCAACTCAGGGCTCGAGCTTACAAACTGTGAGATCACGACCTGAGCCAGAGTCAGACTCTTACCGACTGAGCCACCCAGGCACCCTGTGTATCCTCAACTTAAAAAAAAAATGTTTATGTATCTTGAGAGAGAGAGAGAGAGCGAGAGCGAGCAAGAGCCAGGGAAGTGCAGAGAGAGAGGGAGGGAGAGAGAGAATCCCAAGCAGGCTCCACGCTGTCAGCACAGAGCCTGATGCAGGGCTCCATCCCATGAACCGTGAGATTGTGATCTGAGGGGAAGTCAAGAGCTGGGTGCTTAGTGGCTCCACTGACTGAGCCCTCAGGGGCCCCATATCTTCAATTATTATTTGAGAGAAACATAGTAACATTCAAATGTAACTTAAATCAAAAAAGATTCACCTAGAAGCCCCCAGTTCTCATTTACGTTTTATTCCGTGTATGGTATTTCATTTTGTTTTGTATCTTCATTTAAAACATTTTGAGCCACTCCTCTGGGCCACACCCTGAGATCCAAGAGTGGGGGTGTCACCTTCTCTTTGCCTGGTCTCCTGGAGGAGAAGGGTGGCTCCTAAGGGCAGCTGTCTTTCCCGTCAGCCTCAACTCTCCAGCTTGGTCTCCAGCCTGTCTTCCTCTCACAGTGGGAGCCATCTCCTGAGACTCGGGGCTTTGTTGGGCCTTTGCCCTGGGTCCTTGTCAGGTGCTGGGGCTAGGGGTGTGTTTCTGGGCTTGGTGATTAAGCTAGAGGCCACTTCCTCTCCTTCATGACAGGCCAATGGTCATTTCCTCAGCATTCATCCAAGAGGAAACTCCTTAGAAGTAAGCAAAATAGCATAGCGAGAGAAGTGATTCAATTTCTTTATTATTATTATTTTTTTAATGTTTTTATTTATTTCTAGGAAAGAGAGAGAGAGAGACAGCGTGAGCAGGGGAGGGTCAGAGAGAGAGGGAGACACAGACTCTGAAACAGGCTCCAGGCTCTGAGCTGGCAGTCAGCACAGAGCCCGACGCGGGGCCCGAACCCACGAACCGCGAGATCATGACCTAAGCGAAAGTCGGACGCTTAACCGACTAAGCCACCCAGGCGCCCCTCAATTTCTTTATTACTATTTTTTATTCTTAAAATTATTTTTTATAATGTTTATTAATTTTTGAGACAGACGGGGGAGAATGAGCAAGTGGGTGAGGAGCGGAGAGAGAGGGAGAAACAGAATCTGAAGCAGGCTCTAGGTTCCGAGCTGTGAGCACAGAGCACGATGTGGGGGCTCGAACTCATGTACTGTGAGATCATGACCTGAGCCGAAGTCGGATGTTTAACTGACTGAGCCCCGCAGGTGCCCCATGAAATTGGTTTTGAAAAACATCCTGAATTAGGTTTTCAGAGGCCTGTGAGTAGACAGGTCCAGCTGGGGGTCCGGTTGCATGAGGTAGTTCTTACGTGTGCTGTTCGCTTTCCCGGGCCTTGAGCAATTCTCTGGGCCCCTCGTGCCAGGCTCCAGTTTCTTCTTCTAGGCGAGCGAGGAGCCGGAAGGCCTGCTCTGGGCTTGACCTTCACGTGGAGAGCATGCAGGGTGGGCGTTTGATGCAACCTGACGGCTCCCCTCCCCACCCACCGGGCAGGGTCTCTTCCTGGCCTCTGACATTCAGCAGCTGCGACAGGCCATCGAGGAGTGCAAGCAGGTGATTCTGGAGCTGCCCGAGCACTCAGAGAAGCAGAAGGATGCCGTAGTGAGGCTCATCCACCTCCGGCTGAAACTCCAGGAGCTGAAGGTGTGTGCTGACCTAACCCCCATGGAGGCTTCCAGATTCGAGGGGCTGAAATAGGAAGCTACCCCGAAAGGGTGGGTCCTCACCTCGTGTGTAGGCTTTCTCTATTAGTCTGATCCTGATTGGCCAGTCTTGGTCACATGCCCTCCTCTTGGCGCATGTAAGGTAAGGCCGCCCTTGAACCTCATGACGTAGAGTTGGCGGTGGGTGGGGGGTGGTTTCCTGAGGATTTTGCAAAGGGGACAAGAGTAAGGGTAATGGATTCTGGAGGCCAAAACCCACAGCTGTACACAGTGAAGTCCTTGAGTGTGTGCACGCTTTAGCTGGGCTGCCGCTGGGTCCTGACTGGCTCACGAATCCCTGGGAATTTAAAAAGCAGATATTCACTAGAATATAGGTAAGGCTATGGTAACAAAGACACCCCAAAGTACAGTGTCTTAAAAGAGTCAGATGTGTACTTTTACTATGTAGAAGCCCTGTAGGCCGTCTAGAACCCATAGGGCAGCTAATTGTGTTGGGGACCCCAGGCCCTGCAGCCCTTGTAAGAATCCAAGATGGCCTCACGTCGCTTTGGGTCTCAGCAGAAAAAGGTGGGAGGGGAGAGAAGGCCATGTCACTTCTACTCACACACCCTTGGCCCTAACATAGTCCCAGACAGCACCTCACTGCAGGAGACGTAGGGAGAATCAGTCTGTACTCTGGGTGGTTCAGGCCTGATTGATCACTGGAGATTTCTTTCGCTAAAGGGAAAACGGGGTGTGACATTGGGGAAGCTCACAATATGTGCTGTAAATGTACCTGGAGGAAATAACTCGAGGGGCTCATGGGAAGGAAAGAGAGTTAGCAGTGGCCTCACATATGACCCATCCCTGGGCCTCTCTCTAGGACCCTAATGAAGATGAGCCCAACATCCGAGTCCTCCTTGAGCACCGTTTCTACAAGGAGAAGAGCAAGAGTGTCAAGCAAACCTGTGACAAGTGTAACACCATTATCTGGGGGCTCATTCAGACCTGGTACACCTGCACAGGTGGGCCGGGCCCCAGACCTGCTCCTCCTGCGGGGGTAGTCCTGGGCCCCAGGACAGGGCAGAGACCTTCAGCTCTGCTCTGCTGCCATATTTGGGTTCTGTTCGGATGAATTCTCTGCAGTGAGCTCGGTATTTACTGAGCCCTGTGGGTACTGGGGATAAAACGGGACAAAAGACTCAAACTCCTGCTTTTATCAGGCTCAGGTCCACATTTCTTTCTAGTGTAGTAGCCAGGAGCCGCATGTGGCTATTCAAATTTAAACTGATTCAAACAAATAACTATTTACTTCCTTACGAGTGCTATCTACATTACAAGTGCTTAATGGCCACACGAGGCTGGTGACTGATATTGGACAGTGCAAAGAGAACTTTTCCATTAGTGCTGAAAATTTCTAAGGATGCCACTGTTCTGAACGAGCATATGGTGTGTTAGTTGAAGAAAAATAAGGAAAGAGAATAGCATAGACTAGGGAGTGTGATGGTATGACTTTAGGGTGGAATAAAAAGGCCTCGTGGGACATTCAAGCAAAACTTGGAGGTCGCTGAGCAGGTCAGGGGTGTATCTGGGGGGGATGCTCCTGGGGGGACCTGGCTAGACACACTGGTGTGTGTCCAGTGTCTTCGGTGTCGAGCAGAGCAAAGTGCGGCTGGGCCACTGCATCTGAGAGGAGGCTCGCAAGTGGCAGGTGCTTTTCTGTAAGTGCTCCGGGGGCCGCAGGTCAGTGCCGGGCGTGCTTAGGTTTAACAAGACCACTCTGGCTGCTGAGCTGAGCATGAACTGAAGAAGGGAGTGAGGAGACGACGGGGAAGGTGATGGCACTCTGATCAGGGTGGGGCTGTTTTAGATCAGAAGGGCCCGGGTGCGGCACTACCTGGAGGGCTAAGAAGGGGCATAAGAGGGGAGTTGAGATGATTTACAATTTCTAGTCTCAGTGGAAAGATGGAGCCACTGAAATGTGAGGCGGGAAAACGGCGTGTAGAAGGTGGGTCTGTTAAGGAAGAATGAGAATTCCATTTAGACCGAGTGAGTGTGATGCCCTTTAGGCATCCAGGAGGGAATGGCAGATAGGCTGGGGTTGAGGAGGAAGGTCCGCACGCACTCCCAGGGCAAGGCTTGGCAGGGGGACTGACGGGGCCTTTCAAGTTCAGGGCCTGGGTGGGGCCTGGAGAAGCTCGCAGACTGATGTGGGAATCAGAGTAGAGCTGGCGGCCAGTCCAGGCTGCAGGAGCCACCCCCCTGCCCGCCACCATCTGAGAGGCATGTTGTCCGTCCTCCCCACCCCAGGGTGTTATTACCGGTGTCACAGCAAGTGCTTGAACCTCATCTCCAAGCCCTGTGTGCGCTCCAAAGTCAGCCACCAAGCCGAATACGAGCTGAACATCTGCCCCGAGACAGGGCTGGACAGCCAAGATTACCGCTGTGCAGAGTGCCGGGCGCCCATCTCCCTGCGTGAGTGCACCCAGGGCTCAGGGTGAGGGAGGCTGCTTCGGGCAGAGTAGCCCAGCCAACCGCTGTGAGAAAACCGGATCAATCAGATGCTAAGGGCAGCTTGGGTCCTATGGGTGGCGTCCTGCTCTCTCTCCTTGCGGAGTGAGAAGGGGCTGCCACTGGTGTCTTTTCTCTTCCCGCTCGGCAGACTGGGCGCGGGGGAGTACTCGCAAGGTCGCCTTGCACCAGCGGCCCAGTGGCCCAGAAAGCCCACCTGGGAGGGGAAAGCCGCACAACAGTCTCACATATACCACATGTTAGGCCTTCTTCCAGAGATTTACTAATGTTAATTTATGGGGTCCTCTCAGCCATCCCATGGTGGGGGCTGTTGTCCCACTTCGTGGATGACAAACCTGAGGGCAGCGGGGGCCTGATTTGCTTCAGGGCCTCTTCAGGTCAGGAGACGTCGCATCAGCTCTGGAGGGTGGCTGTTTGCCCGTATGTGGCTTCTAAGCTGTCCGGGACCCTGAAGGCTGCCCTGACTCTGTAGCCCCCCTTCCACAGGGGGCGTGCCCAGCGAGGCCCGGCAGTGCGACTATACCGGCCAGTACTACTGCAGCCATTGCCACTGGAATGACCTGGCTATCATCCCTGCACGGGTTGTGCACAACTGGGACTTTGAGCCGCGCAAGGCAAGGGCAGGAGAGTGGGGATGGGGGGGGGGGGGGGCGGAGCCTGGCCGGGACGGGGGGTGGTATGTGCGATGCTGGAGGTGCCAGTCTGTCACGCCCCCCAGGTGTCCCGCTGCAGCTTGCGCTACCTGGCGCTGATGGCGTCTCGTCCGGTTCTCAGGCTCCGGGAGATCAACCCTCTGCTTTTCAACTACGTGGAGGAGCTGGTGGAGATCCGGGTGAGGCTGGGTGGGAGGGGCGGGTCTCGTTGTCTCCGAGCGCCCTGGGAGCGGGGAGGGATGCCACCTGCTGAGGGACGGTGAGGCCCCTTGGCCGACTTTAGGGCTGAAGACACTAGAGCACTGTTCAGTCACAACGACACTCGGCCCAGAGGCAATCTGAAATTTTCTAGTAGCCGTGTTAAAAGTAGAGAGCAGGTGAAATTAATTTTAATAATATATTTTACTTGATCCGATGTATCCAAAAGATTGTTTCAACATAACTCACATACTACATTATCAAGATGTATTACATTCTGTTTCTTTTTTGTACGTGTTTGAGGATGAATGCACCTCAGAGTGCAGTTGGCCTGGAAGCTGTGGTTTGCACTTGAGCTTGGCTGGAGCTCTCAGATCTGGGACCATCCTGGGGGAGGTGACCTGGGGGATGCACCCTGTCCCCGACTGGCCCGGAGTGCCAGCACCCTCAGCCACCCAGACGTGCCAGGGTGCGGCTCTGCCCTGGCTGAGAATGCTCACCTGCCCTCTCGTCCTTAGAAGCTGCGCCAGGACATCCTGCTTATGAAGCCGTACTTCATCACCTGCAAGGAGGCCATGGAAGCACGTCTGCTCCTGCAGGTCAGGCCACTGGCCCCGGGGCGGGAGCTGGGGGTCTGGGGTCAGGGAGGGGGAAGGCAAGCAGGAAACAGAGCCAGGGCAGTGAGAACATGCTGCGCCCAAGTCTTTTTCAGATGACTTGATAGCTTAAGTGTGCTGGGCCGTTGGCAGGGGGTCTCCCACACTCTGTCCCAAGGAACGCTAGGTCTTCAGTCAGCACACAGGCATCCCACCCACAGGCGTGTTCGCTGGTGACATCACGGTGGGAAACACTGGGAGAAGCAGGTATTTCCCTGTAGCCCTGATCTGAACCTCCACGCAGTGGACCAGGCACAGGCCTGCCCAGGCAAGACTGACCACAAGCACATTTTCCAAGGCTCACCTACCTATCTGTCCAACAAATACTCGTGGCTATTCACTGCTTTAGATCGTCGGGAGCAGGGAGCCGAACAGGAAGGAGTCCTGGCTCTCACTTCAGGGAAGAAAAATAAGCAGTATGTTGGGGGGGGGGGGTGAGGTCTATAGACAAAATAAAGCAGGGAAAGGAGGTGCAGAATGTTGGGGTGGCAAGCAGGGCCAGGACCGGGAGGGGTGCGGCATGCCGGGCAGAGGTGGGGTGCTGCCGGGTGGGAAGCAGCAAAGTGACCTGTGTGGGTGGTGTGGGGGCACCGCATGGGGCCCCGACACCCTGCAGCCTGTTGCTTCCATGAGCACCCCTCGGCCCGGATGATGGGCGTGCCGGGGGGGGGCAGTGGAAGGGCCCCCCCCCCGGTATTTGGGGTCACGGTTGCTGGGCCCCGCAGCTCCAGGACCGGCAGCACTTTGTGGAGAACGACGAGATGTACTCTGTCCAGGACCTCCTGGACGCCCGCACTGGCCGCCTGGGCTGCTCACTCACAGAGACCCACACGCTCTTCGCCAAGCACATCAAACTGGACTGTGAGGTGGGCCCCCCGCCCCGGACCAGGGGGCGTCCCTCTCTCCGCTCCTGGTCTCAAGGGCAGGGATGGTGGGAAAGCAGCTTGGCCCAGTGTGCCCTTCGGAGCATGCGCTGACCTGCCCCCCCCACTGTCGCCCCAGCGGTGTCAGGCGAAGGGCTTCGTGTGCGAGCTCTGCAGAGAGGGCGACGTGCTGTTCCCCTTCGACAGTCACACGTCCGTGTGCACTGAGTGCTCTGCTGTCTTCCACAGGTTAGTGTGGCTCCGACCCGCCCTTGGGCCAGGTGTGGGGAAGAGGGCAAGGGAGGCATGGGGGTCAGGCCTTTGCTGCCTGATTTTCAAAGCCCTTTGCCTCGATCCTAGGTATGGAGTTAGACCCTGATGTGAACTAAATTCAAAGTGCGCTGAGCACCCGTGGGGCTGGGGAGGGCGCTGCAGCCCAGCCCCCTGGTGTGCGCACAGTGTCTGACTTGCTTCCCTTTTCCACCAGACCTGAGGCCAGAGGTTCCTAAACTTCCTGGTTCCTGGTCCCCGCAGTGTCTGGGTGATTTTTTCAAACATCCATGGGCCAAAAGAAATAGGGACATTTTTATTAAGTACTTTGATTCAAACAACCTTAAGCATTTATTACAAAAAGACTTAGTGGGTTGTTTAGAAAAAGAATCCACATATTTTGGAAGAAAAATAATTTAATTCTTTAATAAGCACAATGACTAATAGCAAGTGATGACTGCTGGGCACTGCACGGCTTCTCACGCTGGACTCAGTCAGACTCAGATGGGCACCCCCATTTCTGTCCCTGTGGGTTCCCGCCTGCGCTTGCTGCTCACCCTAGCAGCCACGGGCACTGCGGAACCGGGGCCTGCTGTCACAGAAGGGACTGTAGCAGAAACGAATGCCACGAGTGTGGACTCACTTGAGCTAGCCGTGGGAGTGTCGTGTGACACATGTCGGCCATTGCTGTGTCGCTGCCAAATGTGATAGTCTGTGCACCCCTGTGCCCCAGCTGGAGGCCTTGCACGGTGGTGGTGAGCGCAAGTAGGCAGGCCGAGCGGTGAGAGGGCCTGCACTCAGGTGCCAGGTCACCGGCCTGGCAGACACACCTGGGTGCTGACCTACCTTCTACCCTTTGGGAGAAGGGGACATTAGAGCCTGACTTAGGAAGCCTGTGAAGGCTCTGTGGTAGAATTTCCTACACAGGGAGCCTGGGCCCTTCCTAGGGCTGACCCCCTGTCCCCCTCCCCCCAGGGACTGCTACTATGACAACTCTACCACGTGCCCCAAGTGTGCCCGGCTCACCTTGCGGAAGCAGTCACTCTTCCAGGAGCCCGGTCCAGATGTGGACGCCTAGAGCGACAGGCGCCCCTCCCAGGCCTTGCCGGCATCCAACCTGATGGTCATTGCCAAAGTCAAGGTTTTTCTCGTGTTCTGGAGACCCCCAAGGGTGCAGCCCCTGGACCTCTCCCCTGTGCTGGGCCAGAGGGATGTAAGCAGCACCACAAGGACCATCATCTGTGCCCCGGGCATTTGCTGGGACAAGGTGCAGCCTCGCCTGGCTCTTCCCTGGGTGTGCTGCTGTGAAGGCTGCAGGGCTCTGTAAGCAGGGAAGCGGGGAAAGCCTTCTCACCTCCCCTGTGGCGAAGAGCCTTGGCAAAGCCCAAGGCTGCTGGGTTTTGGCCACCCTGAAAGCCCCCAGAGGGCTTTGGGGGAGTGGCCGGCAAGCCCTGGGGGTGCGCCCAGCCTTGGCCTGAGGAAAATCTGCAATGGATGATTTGGATCTACCTGGAGGCTCCCATCCCCCAGCCCCTTGTCTGTTTGGAGACTTCCTGCTGTCCCTGGCTGGGGTTGTTCACAACTGTCTCCTGGGGGATCGCCCCTGCCTCTTGAGGTTCTCTCTCTAGATTGTGCTCTGACAGGACCAGCCCAGGGGCTATCAGTTCTGTTACAACATGCAGGGAAGGGGGCCGTGGTCTCTACCCCTGGGTGGACCAGCCACTCCTCCTGCCGTTGCTCAGCCCAGCTTACCTTGGTGCTCCAGGCTGGGTGGCTGGGGGTCCAGTTGGAAGAGGCTGTCCAGCCTCCCAGTTTGGAAGCAGGGCCTATGTTCCTGGCGGGAGGGAGGGGGGGCGAGGAGTTCTAGGTTAGGCATCGGGGTCGGCTGCGGTAGGCCTATGTGGCTTCTCTGGGGACTCTGCCGGAGGAGCTCCATGCTGCCACCACAGTGCCTGCGGAGGGCTCTGGACGGCTCAGAGACCACCAGCCAGGGGTCTTCTGTTTGGGGGCCTGAGGTACTGGGAATATTGGCTCAAGGGAGCTTTGGGCAGGAGGCTTAGAGCCCACGCAGGAAGCCTAAGAGGAGACGCTTGGGCAGCAGAAAGGTCGGCTTAGCCTGCTGGAGGGTTAGAGAGGTGGCTGAAGGCAGTGTCCCCTCCTCCTCGCTCCTCTGCACCATCAGAAAAGCCTCAGCTGGTGGCTTTAGGCAACCGTCTCACTGTGTGTTCTGACCTGCCTTGGGGTAACAGTGAGAAGCAAACACTGGAGAGGTGGGGTCAGCAACAGGTCCCTGCGCTGCTTCCCCTTCCTCTCTAGGGATGAAGAGGGACTTAGGGGCCAAATGCCCTTTTCCTACACCCCCAGATCCACACATTTCTCACCACTGTTTTCCATTTCTGTCATAAGGATACTGGCCACTCCTGGCTTTACTGTGTAATGAACGTCACGTTATTCTAGTTGTAATCACTGTGTCCATAGAAAGCGTTAATAAGCTGGCATCTGCTGGACAAAGAGTTGGCTCCCTTTTTAACAACCCCCATATCTCCTCCCCCAATATCTCCATTTTCCTCTTCTGGATGACAGAATCTTTAAACAAAATCATGTGTGGGTCTTAGAGTCCACAGCACTCCAGCAAGAGCCCACCAAAGAACCAGTTTGCACGGCCAGCACGTCACAGAAGAGCAGCAAGGGACAAGCAGTTGTACTGACGCCATAGCTGCTGTCTCATTAAATCTGTGTTCTCTAGACCCTGGTGTGCGTGGTGAATCCGGGACAAGACAGGATTTGTTGACATGCAGACCAATTGCAGGCTTAGGGAAAGCCCACAGCATCCCCCATCCAGTGGGGCCAAATGTAATTTGGTTTGGGGAGTTCGTGATGGGTATCAGACAGAGGGCTGAGTGTGTGGATTCCCCTCAGCTCCATTTCTATGAAAGATGAAAACACATACCTTGGGGTGTGTGTAGGTTCTAGGAAGCACTGAGCCTGGCGTGTAGAGATGCTCAGGAAATAGACGCCTGGGGGCGCCTGGGTGGCTCAGTTGGTTGAGCATCTGACTTCAGCTCAGGTCATGATATTGTGGTTCATGAGTTTGAGCCCCGCGTCAGGCAGGCTCTGTGCTGACAGCTCAGAGCCTGAAGCCTGCTTCAGATCGTGTTTCCTTCTCTCTCTGCTTCTCCCCTGCTCATACTCTGTTTCTCTCTCAAGAATAAATAAAGATTAAAAAAAAAAAGAAACTGTGTCTTCTGGAACCCTCACGGTGACGGAGTGGTCCCATAACCTGGTAGAATCGGCAGGAAACTGGCTGATCGTGCAAGTCACATGTCCAGCTCCTGGCAGTCTCTTTCACAAGCTAGACCCAAAAAAGGACCCTCGCTGAAACTCAAGACCATTCCCATTACCCTGGGCTTCAGGAGAACACTGAGTGCCCCTATTCCAATTTACATTCAAGCCTCTGTATATGAACATTCTTTTCAGAGAGATGATCTACAGTTTTGACCAGGATCTCAAAGGGGCCATGACCCTGCGAATAGAAGGAATTTTCTGCGTTAGAAGGGGTATTTATATACTATTCGTATCCAGTTGCAAGTCACATAGGCTGGTAAACTGTCACCCTAAGCCTATAGAAACCTGAGAGCTCGATGAGCGGAAGCAGAAGGGAGGGGGGAAAGCTGAGGGAGGGCTGTTTGTGGGGCGGGACCCGGCATATTTGAACACACACCTCCAACGACACATAACTTAAAGCCATACTTTGGATACTTGATGTAAGATGAAATATGTTTTCCCTCTCTTTCAGGTGATAAAATAGTATTTTCTTTTACCATTAACATTTTTTAATGTTTATTCATTTTTGAGAGAGAGAGTGTTAGCAGGGGAAGAATAGAGAGAAAGGGAGAAACAGAATCTGAAGCAAGTTCTAGGCTCTGAGCTATTAGCACAGAGCCTGACGTGAGGCTCAAACTCATGAACCATGAGATCATGACCTGAGCCGAAGTCGGACACTTAGCCGACTGAGCCACCCGGGAGGTCCTGAATTCCCTAAAATATTAACATTTGCCCCATTTGCTGTATTCTTTCTCTGCATATGCACATTTCTTTTTCTGAACTCTTTGGCAGTGAGTTTCAGAGATTATACCTCTTTGCGCTAAATACTTGTGTATTCCTGCCAGACAAGGCAACAGTGCAGTTATCACCTGGAAGTCGACATGGACACTTCACAGAACCTACAAGAAAACTTATTTAGATTTTGCCATTCAGTTGCTATGTCTATTTAGCCTTCTTTAATCTGGAAGGGTGCATGATGGACCCCTTTAAAAAGCAAAGGTTAATTGTACCCGGGGGACTCAGTTGGTTAAGTGTCTGACTCTTGGTTTCAGCTCAGGTCATGATCTCACGGTTTTGTGGGTTTGAGCCCTGTGTTGAGTACAGAGCCTGCCTGGGATTCTCTCTCTCTGTCTCTCTCTGCCCCTCCCTGACTCACGCTGTCTCAGTCTCTCTCAAAATAAATAAACTTAAAAAGAAAGCACAAAGTAATTAATTTGAAGAATATCCTTCAATGTGGGTTTTTCTGATAGGATTCAGGCTTTGCATGTTGAGTGGGAATTCCCCCCCCCCCCCCCCCCCCCC